AGCAAAATGTTTGAAGGGTACGTAGTTTAATAATAAGATTCTGTGTTTCTGTGGTTTCAAAATTACATAGTATACTGTAAGCTTTTATTTTGTGTTTACATACGAGTAGCACTAAAAACTCCGAAAATAATCAATCTACAATTCACTTATGACTTGTTTTAGGTCGGTCTGTCAAAGAATATTGTTGGATCTGAGAATAATTATACATGCAAGACGAGAATATGATCCAGTACTAAGCAATCACCACTTGGCTTAATTTCACTTTCACAGGTCTCAACTGTAGCTTTTCTTTCCGCTTTCTTTCAGTATAGTAGTTGTTCACGCAAAGTGATTGATGAATTCCTTCATTTGTTTGCCGCTTTTGGAATGTGGAGCTTAAAACCTCTCTGCTTGTAGCTTTGAAAACATGACAGCTGTAGTTATAGAGAACGAGAGCAAGAATCAAACTTTTGGAAGCACATAAAAAAAAATTGCAAGGTAAGTCAGTTAAAAAAGATTCTTGGTTTCAAAACTATATGGTAAATAGTAAGCACATATATAATGTGGTACCTCTCATACGTCATTTTGCTTATCTCAGGTCTCTCACAATGGAGCTTTAAAATGGCTGAGAGTCACCTCTAGAATGTCATCTTCTTGTTTCTGAAGTTTAATCCTCCTGCCAGGCATGTGTCCTCCTTTCTATTCTTCTTAGTCGTTGATTTTGCTCTTATAGTTTGAAGTTACATTCCTTTTTTTATTGTTCTTTTCTTCTTTTATGAAGTAGCAGATTTCGTTGTCTATTTGAACCTATCTCAGATACAACACAGAAACAAAAAGGTTCCTTTATGGGTTCGTACATTGATTCGTAAGCAAAGGGCTGTTTGTGCTTTTATTCTTGTTCATAACTTTGAAAACTCAAAAAATGATCTAACTTCAAGTTACTTAGGTCTGTCGAAGGCTACTTTTGGATTTGAGAAAGAAAAAAACGATTTTATTCATCTGGAGACAAGATGCAAGAAGAAAATATGCTCCACTTTTGGCGGCAGTGATGAGATCTAAGCAACACCATTTGGCTTATATTAATTTTCCACAGGTCCCAACATTTGCTATTCACTACTTCTATCAGATTTCTTTCTGTTACAGTCAATTAGAGTCCCATTTTTGAATTAGTTAAGAGTAAATAAAATTTCTTTCAATATATAGTTGTTCACGCAAAGTAGCCACTTTGATAGTTCATACACACTGCAAATGTGAAAATTCATTTGAAACTTTTGTAGGTCTTTTTTTCTTAATTGTGAAAGTCTTGATGGCATATATAATAATGATTTATGTGTGTGTTCTCCATTTCAGGTGTTTATATATCCAAAAAATGGTGGTGACAGTGATTTCTGAAAGTTTCCGTAAGAAAAATGTGTGCTTATTAAGAAAACCATCAAAGTCGAAATCATTCTTTGAGTTCTGATTTTGATTCTTTGATACGATTCCAATTTTTGGTATGTGCTTTCATTAGTGCACCAAGGAGATTTGTACGTATCTTGGTTGTCAACAGAATTCAAAGAGATTGCATGAACCTGTATTGGGAGTATTTTGTTAAGGTAACTTTAGCTATTTATGTCAGAGACATTCGGCAAGTGCCTTAATCTACTAAAGGCCATTCTGTAGAAGTAATAATGTTTTGTTAATCTTATATTTTTCGGTGAAAGTAGTTGAAAGAGACACTAAATTGCAGCTATTCCATCTGGTGGTGTGTGGTGACCATTTGTTTACAATCAAATGGAATAAGGTATTGCTGTTTGAAACTTGACCTGAATCCATATACAGTAAATAAAAAAAAAAAGGATCGTGTTTGTACATTCCTTACCTTTACTCATTTTTATAGCCTATAAACAATGCCAGAGAGTGGAAATCGCTGGAAGAGCTTGCCTCTGCATACCACTTTGCAGGTACTTTTATTCGTATATTGATAGGACCTCTAACATGTGATGATGCTACACATATCCAAATGATTTTGGTGAATCCCTTTTGGAATTTGTAACTTTACATGTAATTATGTGTTCTCAGATCGGAAGCACATAAGCTCGCAGATCATAATGCTTGAGAGACAACCTCTACAGATTCCACTAGCTTCTTAAGTTTCATCCTTTTCCCAAGGTATGTCTTCAATTGTTTTCTTTATTATAGTCCTTGGTTTTTCTCTAATAGTTTGAAGTTACAGTCTATTTTCTGTTTGTGTAGTAGAAGATTTCGTAGCCAATGTGACTGAGAAGTCTCATAGACCAAAAACTTTACTGAGGTATACCTATGACCGAAATCATGCTATCGACGGAAATGAAGTGAGTATTGTTAAAAAGTATTTGATGTGTCATATACTATTTTTCAAATACATTAACAATCTTCTCTTTGAGTTCGTTCGATAGCGTGATCTCGGTTGGCTCTTGAATCTCCAAAAACATTACATATGCATGCATTCATTCATTCATACATACATATCCATGCATACATACATAACATATTCATGCATTCTTGAATTCCTGCTTCGTTTATTGATTCCTTTTTTGCTTACTTCATTGCTTGAATGCTTCCATGTTTCCTTGATTGCTTGCGTTCTTCATTGCTTCTATGTTTCCTTGTTTTATTCTTTGCTTCAATGCTTCCCACGTTTCCTTCTTTTGCTTGCTTTCTTCTTTGCTTAAATGCTTCTATGTTTCCTTGATTGCTTGTTTGCTTGCTTCTTTTTTTTTTGGTTTATTTGGTTGTTATTCTACTTGTTAAATCCTTAACTTGTTTACTCGTCAATTTGCTTACAGTATTATTATTTATTGATCTTATTGATGCTAAGATAGCAGATTTCGTAGCCAATGTGACTGAGAAAAGCCTATCTCATAGACCAAAAAAACTTTACAGAGATACTATGACCAGAATCATGCTATTGACGGATATGAAGTGAGTATTGTCAAAATATTTGAAAGTTATGCAATATTCTCCTTGAGTTCCATCGATGGCGTGATCTCGGTTGATCTCTTGAATCTCCAAAAAACATTACATATGCATGCAATCATTCATTCATACATACATACATACATATCCATGCAAACATACATAACATAGTCATGCATATTTGCATTCTTGTATCCCTGCTTTGTTTATTGATTCCTTTTTTGGTTTTCGTTTTTTTTTATTGAACATTTGCTTTGCTTTTTGCTTCTTTTGCTTACTTCATCGCTTGAATGCTTCCATTTCCTTGATTGCTTGTTTGCTTGCTTATTTTTTTTGCTTTATTTGATTGTTCTTAATTCTACTTAGTTCTTTGCTTAGTTTCTTGCTTATTTACGTAACTTGTTTGGTTTACTTCCTTGTTAAATGCATAACTTGTTTACTCGTCAGTATTTCCTTCCTTATTTTTTTACTTGATTCTGTAACGTGCTCACAATTCTATTTATAGCTCTTATATTGATGCTAAGAAATTTTTTTGGACAACCTAAAGATAACTTATATATATCCGTTAATTATTTATGAAAGATACTTTTATTCGTTACGATTACAATTTTTTTCTTGTTTTTTTGTGAAACAACGAAGATTTGAGAGATTTGTGTGAGATAATTTTGTAGTAGGTTTGTTGTATATATATCTCTCTCTCGACTCGAATATGTACGAATGGTTTTGTTTTTAATATATAAAATAATGATTTAATAGATTTATAGGTAATACAAAAAACTAAAGTGATCCGTTCTTACACTTTTTTTTATTCAAGAAAGTAATATGTTTTGTTTATATGGTAAGATTGTGTAAGAACAGATCGCTTCATTTTTTGTAATAGTTTCTTCATTACTGTTGAAGTAGCTAAGGGTTCATAGTGTAAAGTTACGATTAATCCTTACCATATTGGTTGTGAATCTTCTAAACATTGTCGTCATGATACTAATGTTCTAGTTCCATATTAATTTGACTAAAACAATTGTATATCAAATACGAAATGTTATGATAAAGCTATAAATCTATGTTATGTTATTTTATTGCAATGGATTTTTCTTTATTGAATTTTTTGGATCAGATGTGTATTTTGATGTTTGCTTGATGGAATCGGAAGAACGTTGAATTATTTGGTTGGCACTTAACTCTCAATTACTTTATATGTTTTAGGTAAAATACTGTAGGAAAAGGTGTAAAATTCTCCACCTAATTTTTCAATCTTTCGTTGCCATGCATCACAAATTCCTAATTAATAAATAAAAAATAATTATAATTTGGCTAGTAGATTTCATTCACTGAGTAATTTGTTAACTTTTTTTTTTGTCAACACTCCTAATTATACTACTAAAATAAATCCATATTATTTTTGGAGATTCAAGCTTCAAGTTGTGTTCAGTCACAAATAGAATCATTCAACAAACCAATAAAAGAATATAAATCGTATATATCCATTTAGGCAATATCATTCAACTATGCGACGTCATCTTGTGACGCCATTAACATGACGTCATCTACTCGGTAATCCTCCAGTGTTCTAATTTCTAAAAGCTTAATTTATATCAATTTGTACAAAGTAGTCAGTATGAATCGAGTTTAGGGTCGTGAGTAATGTAGACAATCTAACTTATCCTTGTTTGTCAAAGTTTGCAGATAATCATGCTTTAAAAAACACAAGGAATGAAAAGTAATTGCGTTCAAAGATTTTTTTCAAAAACAAATCACATGTTTTTTTTTTGGAACAACAAAACAAATCACATAATATTAGTTCGTTGATGTTAAAATCTTTATCAAAATTATAAGCTAGGGCAGAGAAATTGTATACATATCACTTCTTCATTCATTTTCTTTTTTTGAATAAACGCAAATATATACATCACTGATAAAACTTCATCTCACACAAAAAGACACTTAATTTTGAAGCAAAAAAAGGTGACGCTTGCATATGAATCTATTACAAAACATGAACTTGGAAAGAAGTGAGAATTCAATCAATCTCCACCATGAGAACATGAAAAGCTTGATAAATTTCATGTTCAAACCTGGAAAGGGTTCTAATCAGAAGCAGCAATGTTGTCAAAGAACATAAGGTCTGTTGATGACAATGAGGAAAAATCATAATCCCAGATTTTGTCATCATCCACCAAAAACTCGTTATTATCAAATTCGAGGTTCATCATATGGTCTGTGGCTTTGTCCTCCATAGTAATTTCTTGGTGATTAATCGATGGGAGTTGAGGCATAACTGATTCAGACATGACATGGTTGCATTTCTCGAACTGGATCATTTTGAAGCAGTGAGTATCATCGTTGTTCAAAGAGACTGCATAAGACAAAGCTTCACACGTATGTTGTCCCACATAGGTGGTTCGGTACACTGGAGGATTGTCTTTGATCTTCTGCACACGCTTTGTAGCATTACAGTTTTGGTCTTTCGCATAGGTACATCGGTAGTAACACCTGTAATTAAACAAGTAGTTAGTCTGTTTTACTGTCTTCTATATAACAGAACAGAGCATTTACTCTGGTTTTTTTTTGTAAAAACAGAGTGTTGGCTCTGATTTTTTTTACCTTTGGTGCGGAGAGGTTTTGATGTTTTTTTGTCCATATTTCCTCCAGACGAAGCCGTCTTCGAGTAGTGGAGTCGGGGAATCGTCTCTGTATTTCTCTATAACTTCGACTCCACAAATCTTTCTGCAATGTTGTATACGAGCAATGGTTAAAGCGTGTATTGCACGGATACTTACATCTAAAACTATAGAAGACCTAAAGTTAGTAACATACAGAAAAAATGTGCTACTTCACCTGATTTTTTAGTTTTAAAAGCTTATGAAATTTTGTATATAACATATGCAATGAGAGATTAGGTTTTTGTTGGTAATTTACTTCTTAAATGGGCTCCGAGACACAAGCCGGGGCATGTTTTGAGAAGAAGAAGACTCGTAGTTTTGTGGAGGATTAGGAGAATCCACAAAAGAAAGAGCAAGTGAGAAAGAATCGAGAATGGTGTTGATGAGTGTCCCTACTGAAACTGAGCCTATCTCGCGGTTTTCGAGGAGCATTTTGAGACTGTTAGCACATCCTTGGCCACGGAGGAGAGCTGCCACAGCCTTGTGATCAATTTCAGGAAACATTTTGTGTGTGTGTGTTGTTTTGATGAATCTGGTTTGAGTTTTGCGTTTTGTTTAGTTTTAATTTTTTTTTATGCTAATGCCTATATATAGAGATGTAGGAAAGACAGGGATTCGCCGACATGATGTCATCTAAAGTCCATTTTAGTTTAGAAGTTTGATATAATCGGTCTACTAACAACAGAACTTCAGACATTAGTTGAATAATTCAGTATTTTTTATGCACTGACGAAATTTACATTTTTTAAAAAGTCGATGTTATACCACTTTCTGTTAAATCTTGTTTTTTAACTTTGCCTAAAGAAGAAAAAAAACATATTAAAATGGACGGGAGAAGAAAATAACAGAATCATCCATCAAATTCGCCATATATGTGTTGAGCGCCATCCAGACTTGACTATTGTAATGTGTGCGGGGGTGACGAGTTTTACTGTCGCACGTGTGGTTCGTGAGAGACGTAACGTGGAAAAAGTTCTCTATCTTGAAATTTCTCAGCCTGACATATTTTTATTATGGAATGACAGAGTGTTCTTGTTCACTTTTTCTAGTCTACCAGATAAACTAAACAGTTATTAATTTATAGTATTTTACGTGTGAATTGAAAATATTTTAATAATGGCTACTTTATAGAAATTTTTGGAAAACCAACTTTTCAAATAGAGTAATGATATACTACAAATATTAATACAAAAATATATTCACTTGGTTTCATAAAATTTCATTTCTATACGCGTCTCTAACGTGTGCTTTTGCTTGGTCGCAAGGAACCGTTTCAGGTTTTTGGTGAGAACTGTGAAGACGAGAGATTTGCTCAAGTGAAGGGTAGTTATCGGCTAAGAGAAGAAGATTTTTTGTTTGCACTTGCGTTCGAAATATGAACAATCTAATTACAAGTTTCAAAAAAAAAAAAAAATTACAAGTTTCACTTAGAATAGAAAATTTTAGGAAAAGTAGAATATTCAAAACCATAAACTAAAACAAGAGAAAGCTAAGGTGATATATGTTGCTTCATAGAAGAAGATTAAGATTCTTATATATTAATTAAGATTTTTTCTAATTTTCAATGTAGGATATATTTCATAATATTTTTTCTGTCTTTTATAGTAAAATGTTTTAGCTTTTTTCTTTATTTATTAAAAGATTGATGTTTTAGGTTTTAAATAATATATTGTAAATAAAAGAGAGAAAAATAGTATTAATATATTATAAAAAATAAAAAAGTAACTAAAAATAAAACAAAAAAAATAATTATTAAAGTATGTTTTAATATGTGTGAAGATGTTAAAACATCATACTTAAAAAATAGAGGGAGTATATTAGTAACTCAGATAATTTAATTATATATTAGTTTTGAGTTGAAGATCTATGTGACTTAACATGATAGTAAAGCTCAATCCAAACAATTTAACTTGGTTCAGTATCGATATATGACCAAAAAATGGTCTATATCGATATATAACCAAAAAGTGGTTTATCTTCGTTCAAATATTACTAAGATCAGTAACCAAAATAGCTATTATTTCAAATGGGCGTATTAGAAAATATATCTTATATGGAAAATTAAAAAAGATTTAAATAATATATAAAAAACATAGATCAATCTACTATTGCCAATTAATTTTAAATTAAAAGTCCATGTAAACAACTAGATCCAAGAAAAGATATCCAAACCATTAAAACAAGCAATGCACAACCTATCTTTCGAAACCACTCCTACTTGTGATCTTGCTAGCATTATTCTCGCGCAGAAAACAAAAAACAAAAGCTAAAAACACCAGTAGATTAGATATTAGTATAAAACTTACATTATGTATCTATCTTAACATCAGTTGAAAAATAATCGATAGGCAGATTATCTTCCTCATTATTCTCTACCAAAACTTCAGAACCAGAAGTTCCTTCGTTGTTGTTTGTATTGGTGTTACCAAGCTGAGGAACCTCCTCTTGATGAATCACTAAAGCCGAATCTCTTTCATTACTAGTCACAGCATCTAATCGCTGCCACAAATTGCTCAACAACCTCGAAAGCGCATTGGTCGCAACTTTCAACTCATCGACATTCTCCAGCCTGTCAAGCCGCTCGTCTTCCCACCAAAACCCTAATCCTCTGTTCTCTTCTTGGTTTGTCGGAACAGGCGACTGATTGTTAAGCAGCGCGGAGACAACGTTGTCCACAGAGGAATGGCCAAAGGAGTAGAAAGAAGCGTGAGAGTTGGAAGAAGCCGGAGTCGCTAAGATTGCGATTTGAGTCGTGGGAGAGAGAAGACAGAGCTCAGAAGCTTTGTGAAAGAGCCCTTTACGACGTTTAGTGAAAGCAACTGATTTTGCATTCTCCTTTTCGATCTTCTCAATCTTTATTTTACGTTTTGTGCCTCCGACCATATTGTAAGAATGAAAGTGAATATACACAGACAGAGAATGTTTGCATCTTTATACCGCTTTGTTCTTGTCTCTCAACTCTAATTCTTTTACATTTTGTTTCTGTCGGTTCTATTGAGATTTGGTTCCCTGTATGGAAACTTTCCATAATGCGTAGTTTCTTAATTACCATTTTAGCTACTTTTGTTCCCTTTTTGTATTTGTTTTTTTTTTAAACCTTTATGTTATTAATGGACTCATTTATTTCCATTTTCCAGAAATTCATAACCGCAGAAAAGTAAAACGCCAAACATATAGTACTTTTGTAAGGGTATTTCAGCACATACTTTCCATCTCTTCTCTTGTGTGTAATATAACGTAACTCTTCTCGTGTTTTTGTTTCGATCTTGCGAAGTGGTACCTTACCATGAAATGAGCAAAAAAAGTGGCGCTCATGGGACTCGATATGTCCACAAGAATTGACCGACTGTAATGTGATATAAAGACCAAAAATTGAACTAAACCGGAACCATTAGAGCTAAACCAATCAAAACTCTTTTTAAGAGAGATCAAAGATTACACGTTCACATTTATCTACCAATATCAGCTTCAGTGAAGACTCTTTACATCCGAAGGCAGTCAAAACCTAGAGCCAATATATTTTTAAAGTTTGTAATTTCTAATTATTTCCTTATTTCCATCTGAAATTATTATTTTAAATATAAATCATGAGAAAAACTATAAAGGCAATTACTCAACAGAAAAATCTACTCATTCTACAATTCTTTATTTCTTTTGAATTAGGATTTTAAAAAGGTTAATAAATATAGACGGGTTTATGGGTGAATTATCAAAAGCAAGTTTGTGATAGAAATTAAGATCACCTTTTGCTTCAGGTAACATAACCTAAATTTGGAGAGATATGGAGGATCAAAAGCAGATAAATTTCACGTTTGAAGTAGATAACTTTTTGGAGAAGGAATCGATGATATCATCACCAAACTTCTTAAGCGGCGGCTGCGAATGGTATATATATATGTGTGTGTGTTATGATTCTTGACTCATCCTCAATAGGCAAATATTGTTAGATGTAGTAAATTTGAAAAAGCGGTTACTTAAATACCTTTTTCTATTTATTTCCCAGGTTTGTTAATGTTCATCCCAAAGGACACGATTTTGAAGATCACTTGTCTCTGTTCCTTTGCGTTGCGAATCCTGAAACATTACGACTTGGATGGAAAAGACGAGCTAGTTTTTCCTTTGTTCTGTTGACTCAATCAGGAAAAGAGCTCTGCAAACTAAAAGGTGATTAATTAGCTTATCATCCATATCGATTGATGAAGAAGAATAAAATTTAAGTTAATCTTTCTACTTTTGCTCAGGCCACAGAAATTTCAATTTTAAACCAATCCTTCTGTTTTTGTCTTTCAGAAGAATCGTGCAAGTTGTTCTGCGCTCAGTTCTCACGATGTGGTTGGAAAAAGGCCGTGCCTCTTAAAATGCTCCACGAAAAAGGTTTTCTGGAGGATGACATACTGATAGTTAAAGTGCAAGTGAACGTAGTTGAAGTTGTTGATGAATCCGAAGTAACCGGGAACGAAACCTTAGATGTCAGAGGTTTCCAAGTTCTTTATTCTCAGGTATGATTGTAAGGATGCTTCTTTTTGTCTTTTCTTTTTTATTTCTCTTCTTGTTTACGTAATTTCACCTTTCTTGTGTCGACAGGTTGTTTCAGTGTGTGGGCTTTTCAAGAAGCACCCGGACATTGCAACAAATTTCAAACCAAAGAACCAACTAGTGAAGACTGCATACATGAATATCCTCCTTGGTCACATCGAGGCATTGGACAAACCTCCACATAGCTTATCCGATGCTGAGCTAAGCAACGCTTACAGAGACTTGATCGAGCTAACAGAAGCAGGCTTCAAGCTAGACTGGTTGAAGAAAAAGCTTTGTAAAGTTATCAAGGAGAGGGAGAAAAATGCTGATGGGTTACGAGTCCAGGAACACATCAAGACTCTCAACATTAAGCTGAACCAGGAGAAGGTGAAATCTGCTACTTCTGCTAATAAAGATTTTTCAATGGAACAGACGATGTGGAATCACAAAGCTGAGCTGGACAAGGAGAAAGCCAAGTCTTCTACTTCTGCTGCTAAAGACTGGCTCGAGGACGTTGTTCACTCTTGGAATAAGTGGAAACTAAGAGTGGGATTTACTGATCTTGGTTATAAAAAAATTGACTGAAAGACATTTTATTACAATAAGTGAATAAACCATTACCAAGGATGAATTTTCACATAGGCGCATAAACGTGTGGGAATGTGCCTTGTGTCACAAATCTTTTTTATATTTTGGGGTCAAACCACAAGTCTTTAATATTCAAGAAATATTTTCCCCAGTCTAATTTGTACCAATACAAAAGTGGGACTCTAAAATATCCAAAGAGATTCTGTTACCGAAGTAAGAATCTTTTAGGTATGATTGCGTCTCCTCAGTCCCAAAACTCTCACTAATTTCAAACAGCTGTCTGCATTGCAAGATTCTAACTAAGTCTCTCATCTTAATCAATACAACAATAATACAAATAATATAAGTATCTCTCCCAAAAATGACAAATTAGCTTTTTCAGTTTTTCTAAAGTTGACACCTCGATAAAAAACACCAATCAAAACATTTTATTAATACACATCATCTACTAATTTTTATTATTTTTAACTTAAACCCATTAAAAACTGAAATATTTGTTTTGTTAATTTTTATTTTATTTTTTACCAAACCCAAGCCCAAATAATAAATAACAGCAAATAAAAAGTGTTTTATTTTTTACCATCCCCAAAACTTAATAATAAATAACAACAAATAAAAAAAATTAAATCTTTGTTTTATATTTTTGCCAAACCGAAACTCGAATAATAAATAACAGCAAAAAAATTAAAATTTCTAACTATATGTTTGCTTGATAGAGACGTATATGATTAAAGAAAGTATAAACTCATCATCAACTATGATTCCATAACAACAACGCAAAAAGTGTTACGTTATAAGAAGCTCACACATCATCAAAAATTTCAACCAATAAAAATATAACAATAATACATATCATTAACACACTAACAGGAGCGGACGCACAAATACAGTTTGGTGGCACGTGCCCCATACTGATTTTTTTTGGTAGTAGTTATGTATATAGACTGAAGTTTTATTTATCCATTTGTGTATTCAAACTAGCAAAATTTAAATTCCATTCAAAAATCCAAATCAAAAACAGTATAAAATTGTGTTGACTTACTTATCCACAATTTTATACTATGTTTTCGTTTTTTTGGCTTGTGTTTTTATATTACTTAATCCAGTACCGGCCGTTGTGATATAGCACCTAAAGCCCATAAAAAATAATGCATTTTGGATATGCGAACTCAATACCACATGAACCATAAACATTAACTAAAACCATTACTCTTAAAGATTTTTATGAAATTTGATGCTCCGAAATTGTTAATAATTTGGCGTCTAAAACCTTTGTTTTACGGGCTTTAGATCAGGGCTAGTCCTAATGTAATCAATAGTAAAATCATTAGGTAGGTTTGTAAGAGTTTTTTTTTTAAATCTTTTTGTCACATAATATTTTAATCTATTTTTTCATTTCATTTTATATAGATATTTTTTTTGTTATTAGTACTATATTTTTGATAAATTATTTTATTAATTAAAATAAATAAAAATATATGCCCCATATTAAATAAGTTTCTGCGTCCGCCCCTGCAAACTAATAAAATCAGTTTACTATTTTGCTGACCCATGAAAAAGCCCAAAGTTTACAAAAAAAATGGAAGTCGAAAACAAATGAGGAGAAGCTCAGACCAGCACAGCTTGAAGATTCGCATTTACGGTGGTTACCTAGAACAAATTTTCTTGGGTTTGGCGGGAATAGAAAATTTCTTGGTTTCAGTAGGAAAATGTGATTTTCAGTTTTTGTAGGGAAACATAATTTCTTGGTGATGGCGGAAAAAGCGAATTCTCGGGTTTGGCGGAAAAATGTAAAATTTTGTTTGGTGAGAAAAACAAATTTGATTTTGACGCAAAAACAAAATATCTTAGTTTTGACGAGAAAATGTGAGCGTAATACAACTTTTCAATTTTGACGAAAAATCGATTTCTCGGTTTTGATAGAAAATGCAAATTTTCGGCTTTTGATGGATAATTAATGTGATTTCTTGATTTTCGGGGTAATGTTTTTTTAGTTTTCGTAGAAAATTATAATTTGATAATTTTGGCAAAAAATGCAATTTCTCGATTTGATGGGAAATTTTTTTTTTCGATTTTGGCAGGAATAAACAATTTCATGGTTTTGATGGAAAGTGCAAATTTTCAGTTTTTGACATATAATGTGTTCTTTTGGTTTTCACTGGAAAATGCGATTTCTTAATTTTCGCGGAAAACGCAATTTCTCCGGAGATAATGCAATTTTTGGTTTTCGCGGGAAATTGTAGTTTATCGGTTTTGGTAGGAAGGCGCGATTCTTGGTTTGAAGAGAAAAATATTTTTTTTTAATTTGACGGGAATAGACAATTTCTCATTTTTTGCGGGAAAATAATTTTTTTGGTTTTAACGGGAAAATACGATTTGTTTTTGTTTTTGTACGAAGATGAATTTTTTTGGTTTTGGTAAAAAAACATAATTTCTCTGTTTTGGCGTGAAAACACAGGTTCTCGTGGAAAAATGTGATTTTTTTTTTTGTTTTTGCATGAAAATGTAATTGCTTTGTTTTAGTAGAAAATTGAATTTCATTTTTGATGAGAAAATGAATTTTTTTTTGTTTTGGCGGGAATATGCGATTTCTCAATTTCGTGGGAAAATATGTTTTTTTTGTTTTGTCAGAAAATGCAAATTCTCGATTCTTGTTAAAAGGTAAAATTTCTCTATGCTAAATTTTCAAGTTACAGTAACCAAAATTGAATTATTTAACTTCAACTAAATTGATATTTCAACTGTTCAAACATAACTTTCTATTTAGTTCTAAAGCAATAGCAATAGTTTTGATATGAAAGTTGTTGATTATAGTTTGATAGTTTTAGAAACATATTTTTATTGTAAATATTTGATAAATAAATAAATTTTATAAAAAAATAATCATATTAATTAATATTGTTATTAAATAGCAATTTGCTTTATATAATTTCAAAGGAGGATCAAATGGCAAGTTAGTAAAGAAAATAAATTACATTTGTCATTAGCATGAAGATACTTAAAAATGTGTTGTTTTATTCTTACATATACATTTATAGATAGTTAGCTAAAAATATTTAATAGTAGATTATAATTTTGAAAAATAAAAAAAATAAGGATATATAATGTTTATTCAGATTTAAAACATTTAAATATATAACTTAAGCTAATAAAAAATAAATATAATACTCATTTACATTATAAAATAATTTTATTATATTAAAATTATATACAAAATTTAGAAAAATATCTCGCGGCATAGCCCGGGTAAATACCTAGTATATTATTAAAGTAGTAAAAGAAAAAAAAAGAATAAAAATGAGAGACTATGAGAGACTATATCATGTGTTGTTTACATTTCACTGATTTAGATTTAAATTACAACTTAAAACTAAATATTAAAATTAAATAATATAAAAAATTATTATAAAATTGATAAAGAGACTCTTGACTCAGCACTGCAAATACTCTTATATGATATAAGAATTTGCGTTATAAAACTTGATGAAGTAAAGAAAGGGTATTAAATGTGTGAAATTTTATTAGTTTATTTGTTTTTTTATTGTAAAGAAACTTTGTTTTTAACAGATTTGTTGTTGCAGTCTATAAGACATACGTGATCTCAATTATTTTGGTTCTACAAAGTTTTCCAAGTTAGATGTTCAACAATTCAATATCCCACGTTGGATGTTCATAATCTTCACTCTCCATTGGAAAGCTAAACCAATCAAAAAAAAAATCAGGATAGATTAGCGAGTACACACATTCACATTTATCTTCCAATATCTTCACAGCTTTAGTAAGAAAAATATTGTATACTAGGAGAGGTTCGCGCGTTGCGCGGATTTATTATATTTTGATGTTATATAATGATAATAATTATATTGTAATCTGTTTGTTTAATAATATTCCGTAAAAATTAAAAAATAATAATTATTAATTAAAAGGATTTAAAAATATTATATTATTTCATCTCGATAATAAGAATATATTATTCTACAATATAACCATTCAGAAATATATTTACAGTAAACTTTATAAGCATAAAATAAAATATTGATATTTTTCGTCTTTCTAGATTATCAAGACATATAGTACAATTACCATCTTTTTTTGTAGTTTATGTTTATGTTTGTGGTAAAACTAAAAGATTGATTTGTTAATAGAATGCTTTATGGTGTTTGCTATTTGTAACTTATTGTTTTTTTTTATATATATATAGTATTTAATTATTTTTTTAAATTTTGGTTAAGTGTAACTTTGTTGTTTGTAATGTGGTAAGATAATATAGTCTTTTGTTTAATTGTGTCAGTTTTGTTTATGTCTTTAATTGTCGGGTTTTTTTAATTTGGTTTTAATGTCTATATTATTGATCCATAATTAATTGTTGTTGATCTTTTGATTAATTATATTTGACCACCAATTAAATATTGAGTAACTATTATATTGTATAGTCTGTTTTTGAAGGAGTATATTTTGAAGGAAAAGAGGCTTGCAATTAATTTGTTTGTTTGTTGATTTTTTCCTTACATTGATCATATTACATGTTAGATTTATGTAGAAACTGCAATATTTAGTTTATTTGAACAATAATAGTTTATTTGAACAACACAAAAATATTAGAATAGACAATGGGATGGTTAATTGATCCATAATTAATTGATGTTAATTTTTTGATTAATTATATTTGACCACCAATTAAATATTGAGTAACTATTATATTATCTAGTCTGTTTTTCAAGGAGTATATTTTGAAAGAAAAGAGATGCAATTAATTTGTTTGTTTGTTGTTTTTTCTTTATATTGATAACATTACATGTTGGATTTATGTAGAAATTACAATCTTTAGTTTATTTGAACAATTTTTGGTTTATTTGAACAACACAAAAATATTAGAATAGATATTAATCATAAATTATTAATATCCTATTTTTTTTAATTATATCATGTTTCTTACTTTTTCAAGTAAAACATATTTTTAACAGAAAAATTTATAATTAGTAAAAAGAACTATTTTT